TTCAACTGAGCTCACCCTGAGCTTCAACTGAGCTCCACCCTGAGCTTCAACTGAGCTTCAACTTGCGCTTCAACCTGAGCTCCACCCTGAGCTTCAACCTGAGCTCCACCCAACTTGAGCTTGGGAAATTGTTACAGCAGAAACTCAAAACGAAGTTGGCGCACCGACACTGGGCTCCAACCTGAACATCTGAGATCAAATCAGCTCGATTTAAGTCACCCGTTAAAGCAAGCGAAAGAAACATACTCGCTAGCGAAAACACACATACCCCCGGTATCTCTAAACAGTTTAAACTTGCCATCGAAAATGATTGCGCTGTATGTAAATTGAAGTCACCCATTGATGGGAGTGTTGATTGAAATCAGCAAAAATAGCAACAAAACTGAGCGTTATGACCTGGGCGTAGATGCCAAAACGGGAAATAATTTTATTTTTAAGTCTCCCATTGGATGGGAGAATTAGTCAGTGAAGTGAGAGCGTCCAGTAATGATATTGAATACGATCTGGACATAAAAGACAAAACAGGAAATATTTTATCACTGTATTTTTCAAGAGTGGAAGAACGTTAAAATAAACATGAAAGGACCTCTATGAAAACATGGGCACAGTGCCACCCTGAGCTTTAACTTGAGCTTGGAATATTGTTTATATCAGATCGAAGCTCGAAACAAAGTTGGCCAGGCGCTGCACGACTATGAATTCCAACCTGCTCATTTTTCCTTAATCTTTATTCTAATCTTTATTTCTGCAGTTACAATTTAATTTTTTTCTGGTGATTTTTTTTTTTCAAGAGACTTGTGTCTGATTCCACAGACTAGTATGTTTTTTTAGCTTGTTGATCTCAGATGCTCAAGTTGGAGTTCAGTGTTGGCGCTCCAACTTAATTTTGAGCTTCTGCTGTAAACAATCTTTCAAGCTCAAGTTGAAGCTCAGGGTGGAGCTCAGGTTGATTTTGAGCAAGCTCAGGTTGAAGCTCAAGATTGCCATTACATACCTGATTTAATATGTAACATAATATATATTTCAATTTTTCAAATGATGTCAAAGAGTAACTTTATATTTCCACAAAATTCACAGATATATCGTCAAACAACACCAACATTGTATGCGTACATGTACTATAGACCCTGGGGCTGTCAACAGAATCAATGTTTTCAGATATGAAAGTGGGTACTTATGTGAAACTGGAGAAAACAATGGAGTGGGGTAGAGAAAAAAAACAATACCTATCCCCAATATTCGCTGGACATTTGACCTCAGCGGGGACAAATAAATGTAAAGCATTATTAATGATGTAAGAATACAGACAGATGGATCTACTGGGTTACAAAAACAGACATTTGTTTTAAACATTAGCACACCCTTACTGCTATTTATCCCTGGGTACCCAGGGCTGGGCACAGGTGGGTACAAAATGGCTATATACTCATAGCATTGTTATACAGTTCATTCATTGCGCAACATAGTTTGAACTACACGACCATTCTATTTTTCCATAGTATCACGGCAAATTCGAATAACACTCATGTCTGACGACTGCAGCGATAGATCACAGTTGGCTTTTGATAATACATCTGTAGTTACATCATTAACATAAAATAAATGAGAAATTAATGTTGACACCTGTATAAAGTGGATTTCTTGGCAACGTTTCAAGACATAACCGATTTATGTTGTTTGTATCAATTATATGGCTTATGAGTCATCTTTGTCTACTACAAACAGATCCGATCAAAGATTTGGCTTAAAATCAACATTCAATTCTGATTTGCTGCGACTTCACCATTAAATCCACAAGTACTAGTACCAGCCTCTCCCCAAGATTTACACAAATATGATGACCCCTCTACCCCTCAAGAGTACCCACTCCTTCTGTGGAGTTTGATAGAACTAAACTGAACAAACCCTAGGCAACATGTGATTCCCGCAGTCTTGCAAAACTGCAAGCACCACGTACATTACTATGTATTGCAGATTATATATGTGAATTTTTTAAAAAATACATTATTTTTTAGTAAATTTTGAGCTGTCTAGTATCTGAAGAATGAAATTATAATGTATCATTCGACAAAGACAGGATTTTTCTTTTGTATACACATGCAACTACCAGGGTATTTACTTACATAGCAATAAATGACGAGATTAAGGAACAAATCCATTTCACAGCACATTAAGCATGCTAAGATAAAGCCACAAGATGAGTCACTGTTGATGTTATCATATTTACATCAAGTGTGGCTCTTCTTTATTTCTCTACACAGCTATGAAGGCCATGCTGAAGGTCAATTTAAGGACGTTTTTGCACAAGACCAGTTGATAAAACATAAAAAGTTTTCTCAAGCTGGAAGCATATATCCTACATTACTTCCTTCATGAATACAAAACATACAGTCCTGTATTGGTTTCCATTTATTGCAAACATCTCATATTTCTAACATTTTATATGTTTAAATTAATGAACAACGAACAAAACTACCCGCCAATAAAGTGAAAATGTACAGACCAATGAAAGTTGATATGACAGAATTGAATAAATGTCTTTTTTTTATCAACCAAGAAAACCAAGAAAGTAAAATTTTGAAAAAAAAAAGAAGAAAACTGCTGCATACATCAGGGAGAACCCACAGATGTTTTTAGTATAAATGTAGCCATATATAAAGTTTTAATTAATAAATTAAATTTGCTGATTTGATGAAGTTAATTTTCTTACATATTCATCATTAAGGGAGTTTTGAAAACAGTATATGTGAGAGAACTGTTTAACAAATGAAACCAATATGGGGATGAGGTGACAGAGCCTAGCATATTGCACATAATACACTGAATATCGGGATAAGTCAAAGGTTATCAATGTGTTCTCCTAAAAATAACAGAAATATGCAAGGACTGTGAACATGTCCAAGTTAAGGTTGAAATTGGGAGAAAATGTAAAACCCTATCAACCCATTACTTTGAAAAAAACAGAATTACAACTTGTGATGACTGATGCATTTTTCACTAGTCCACATGCCAGCTCTAAGCAGTATCTGTGATGTCACTATCTTGAACAGCACCCTCTTGTGGCAGTGACAGCATCAACAATGCTAGTATTTGGTCATGTCCCATATCTGTGGCCATCTCCAGGGGTGTCAAATCACCCATTTTAGCATGCACGTCAGCATTTCCTTTTATCAATGCATCGCACACTTCTTTATGACCTGTTTGGAGAAACAACATCAATATAATATAAATCCCATTAAAAGGCAGTGTTTGTGTTCCGGTATGAGTCATCACTGATGTCTGTAAAGATCTTCTCTAAATTAATGGTGGTCTCAATATGACAAAATTCAGAAATTGCGGTACCTGAGTAAGATGAATGAGAGCTGGCACTCAGCCAGCCAAGCTAGGTAATTTGTACATTTAGTCAGATAGATAAATCAATATATATTTTTGAGTTCAAACAATAATTAATTAATTAACTATATAATTAATCTATAACTACTTTACTAAATGCTTTTGTATGATATTCCCTACAAATTGGTTTAGTAATAGTTTTGCAGAGCAATTAAATAATGGTCTACACATTGATATGGCATTTTAGAAAGGTAAACTGTTGAAAAGAAAGAAAGTAGTTTGGTGACATTTTTCTGTTTCTAAAGAGAAGTAAGCATATAGATTATGAATGAGACAATACTGTGCACTACTTTATTAATAGCTATTAAATTTAGGAATTGACACTTGTAATTTAATTTGTACAGATTCATGAAAATAAATTATTGGTGTATGAGAGATCATGTAGGAAACATACATGTAAATAATCTAGTTGTTGAGATTTGAATTTTTGAGTCTATTGATGAAAGCAAAGTACCTCATGCCATCCATATCATGGTAAAAAAATAATATTCATCAGATTATATTTTTGCAGATTCATCCATCTTAGCAAAAAATATAAAATCCCAGGTGAAAATAAAGTATACTACTAATTTTTTTCAACAGCTGTCATAAAATCATTGGTTACTTGGACATACAGATGTAAAATAATTCCTTTTAATCTTGCCTTTCCAACAGCCATCTTATGTGCATCTTTTAGGAAGCTGATTTACTAGATAGTGAACTTGTATGTACACAATCTGGTAAAGACCAGTTGATTACTCTGAAAAACTCATGAGGGCAGCATGCATGAGAAGCAATCAAAAATGCCTTACCATGCATCACAGCCAGATGAAGTGGTGTAGCGCCCTCACACTGTGGATTTGTAGCATTTACATTGGCTCTACCTCTTTGTATGAGTAATTCAACTATATTGACATAGCCTTGATTAGCTGCTGCATGTAGTGGTGTGTTACCAGTATCTGAGGCTGCATTCACATCGATCCTTGGCTGAACCTAGCAAGGAAACAACAATATTTTTTCAGCAATGAACTTTTTTTATATACCGTATTTTCATTTTTATCAATTTCCTTTATATATTCCCTGTGTCCTGTTTAATAGTTTAATGACGCGGTAATATAGAGCAATGGTGTCACAAAATATGCAATTGTATATTATAAAAATATGAAATTATTATGCAAACATTATTAATATGCAAACGAATTAATCAAGCAAATAGGTGACAATGTAGAACTCTTGTAAATCACAAAAAATACACAATAATAGTTGGATCCCAGCTCATAAAATTTCTGACCTGTTTATGGTTTTTAAAAATAATTGGTTGTGAATTTAATTCCTGTTTTAGTTACGAGGTCACAAACATATTATAAGAAGCAACATTGTTAAACACTCACACATCATAGTTATTTATATATTCTAAGGTAATACAGTAAAAAGACATTCAAGATTTTTATATGGTCTCATCAAGGATGCAAAATTTTGGAATATGCATATATTTTTGTCAATCTCTTCCATTTTGGGGCAGTGCGCATTTTCTATGCATTGAAATTACTGCTTTTTAAACTGGCTGAATGGAATTCCTCTTGTTTTTGTTCAAATCCATCTTCCATTTACCACAAGGTGGAATTTTTTGCATGATTTCTGACTGTATACTTATATCAATTATTGTTTTTGCAATCAACTCACCTTGGTTAGAAGAAACTTAAGTACAACAGACTGGTTGTGCATAACGGCCGTGAATATCAACGTCCTATCATGACAGTCTTTATCCAAAGGACTCAATTTTTTGCACTTCATTAGATAGTAAAGAAACTCCATATAACCGTATTGCACTGCTTTAAATCCTCTCTCTGACGTTATGTTTGCTACATCCTTCTTTGTACTCTGCTCACCTTCTGCAACATCATCACCGACCATGGAACTTCCGCTTTGTATAGTTCTATAAAAGTTGATCACTGCATACCACACGTTCATTAAGGCAAATGCTCTGGTAGCTAGCATCATCTGAGCATACTCTTTATTTCGTGTTGATATTTTAATATCAGAAAGCAGTTTTTTGTAATCATCCTTCTTTTCTGATGACAACGTATCTAGAATGTTGAGAAACAGGTATGGCCCTTTTGAGCTACATAATTTCTCAGGATACTCTCTAAAAACTGCCATAAGTATGTGGTTAAGATCTGAGTCTTTCACTTCGCCAGTTTTTATGCCGTCAGAAAATGCAACTGACATTTCATCATACAGGATGCTAACTTCCAGATTGAATATCTGCGTTCTTTGATTTTCAGGGAAATCCTTCAACCAAAAATTAGCAAAATGGATATAGTTATCACTAGAATTACACCACATTGAAATTTCATTGACCATTTGATTGGCTCTTAATAACCACTGTGCAACAATGTTTTCATCCAGATATTGCAATATATGATCCACATTGCCTTGCTTAGTTGTTGGAGAGTAGCCTGCCATAGCACCCTTAGGAGACCCATCACTGCTACTGGTATTACTACTGCTTGGTTTTGAATTTCCTCTACTTCCAACTGGAGGCAGTGGAACTTTGACATGTGGAAAATCTAGTTTTTGCAGCATTGGTGAAGTGACCAATGAAGGATAATGATTATCCTGCTTGGTTATCTTTTTCTTGGGTTTAGCACCTGTTGATCTTGGCCTTGTTTTAGACGGTGGTCGGGGCTGAAACCCATTTCCATTGGGCAAGAATGAATCACTTTTACTGTTGTACCGAGATGCAGTATCAGGTCTGTCATCAAGACTCAAAGAACTGAATGAATCTGGCAATCCAAGTTCATTGTCACTCAATTCCTCGTCACTGTCGCGAATTGTCAGTCTAGACACACAGATAAAGTCACGCAGATCTTTAGCACTGCGTGCCATTGCAAAAAAATACGCAACAATAATTTGTTAATTACACTTTGAAATGATGCGCAATAGCAACAATCTTGATTACTTAATACAGAAAGTCAGTGCTGCGATTTATTAGACAATTGCTGATTAAAACTGACTCCTGGAATGTATACTTATTTACATATTCCAATTGATTTCCATCTGCAGACGAACATCAAGGCCCAGGAAGAAACAAGTTAGAATGGCTGGCAAGCGGAACTTACATTTCCAGGCGAATTTGAAGAAAAATATTAAATTTCTCGTCAACAGCGTGGCAAATTCAGGGTAGATAATCTTCAGTACTTGTATCATATCACTCAAAGATCGAAGCAAGACTTTGTTTTATGCATCGATTCTTGTAAAATCAGGGTTACTGAACATAATCACAAGTTTTGAAATGATTGAATGAAGTTGTTGATTTCTAAAGTCAGCTGGACGGTGACTTAGCAACGATATTCCACAGTTTTAGCTGGTTATAATTAAATCGGTAGCAGTGTGAGATATTGTCCCTCAAAGTTCACTTACAAAATATCAGACAGAAAACAGCATACTGGGTGTCATTCAAACGCATCAGACGGAAAGCACTGACATCAACAAGACGAAACGACTGACTATCAGCGCCATTTTGGAATGTCAATTCCAAAGTAGCACATAACAACGAATGTGATTGGTCCATTGTCAGTTAGCGGCATGTCCAATCATGTATGGTTTTACATTTAACCTTTGACACAGCTCGAGTGTTTTAGGACGGAGGCGTAAACCATGGAAAAACAATTTGACGGAAAACGAGCTCTTGTTACCGGAGCTGGCAAGGGTAAGAATATATTAAAAACAAAAGAAATGCATACAACAGTCACCCATATTACGTTCAGTGAATTGCACGGTTACTCGAATCAGGGCATTTACTAGCTACTAATAGGGTTTCGCAATTACCAATAGACGAACCAATCAGATTACCGATGCAACAGAAAACGTCAAAAACAGACACCAGCGAAATGCAGAGCTACAGAACTGCAGCTAGTTTTATAGGGATGAGTCAGAATGAATGAATGAATTTAATTTACAATCGTTCTATACTTCAATACTTGTAGTACTGTAAAATACTTTATTTTCGCTGAAGAGATGATTCAGTGAAAATAAAATCAAGCGAGTATTACTTTTTTTCGATATTTTACATTCAACTCATCAAAAATCAGTGTAAATGAATTCCATACATAACATAACAGAACAAATGCAATCCTGTGAAAAAAAATGTTATTATATTTGCTTGTAGCGAGGAAAACATTCTTTTTGCTGGAGTTAATATTGAAAGATTAAGAACTGATGTTGAAAAATTTTATAAATATTGAAGGCTTATTTTGACTGACAGGTGAGAAAATTTGTGTCAAGTACACTATCAGTTCAATATGGCGCTATGGGATGTTCATCATAGTTCTAGCAGGTGGATAAAAGCTAGGTAAACAAATTTATTTGTATCTTGTCATAGGTATTGGCCGTGATGTTGCTAAGGAACTTGTAAAGTGCGGAGCTGTGACATATGCACTCAGCAGAACACAGTCAGATTTAGATAGTCTCAAAGAGGAGGTAATGTGATGTCATTTGCATAAGATTTGCCTATATCCATATTAGAACATAATATACTGATAAGAAAACTTTGATTTCCAGGTTCCAGACATACACACTATCGCAGTAGATCTAGCAGACTGGGATGCAACACAGAAAGC